CACGCACAGCTGCGTGTGTGTGTGTGCTCTGTGTGGTGTAATGCACACGCACAGCTGCGTGTGTGTGTATGCTCTGTGTGGTGTAATGCATACCACATGCATGTGAATGCAGGCATTCAGATCATCAGGAGTATATGGATGAATTAAGGATGTGTCTGCCTGTGTGCATGCCTAAGTGTGAGATTTGTGTTTAGTGTGTGCACACAGAGGTGTGACAGTGAAATTGTACATATGTAACTAGGTATAAGTATAGTGTATGTGCATGTAAATGTGTGAAAATGTGTGAGAATTGTGCATATGTGTGTGTGAGAACCTGTGACTATGCGTATGTACACATAAGACTGTGTACTACAGATAGACTGTATAATTGTGCACATGCGCACATAAGGCTACGTTACTCTGTGCGTGTGTACTTGTAAGAGCACACAGATGCACTGGAGGAGGAACCATCCTGAAGGACAATGGAAACCTGCAACTTTGAAACCTTTCTCACCACTCGATTTCCCTGTGTCTCCTCAGACCTCTAGTGCCAAGTCTTCCTGGATTCCTGATGGTGGCCCAAGAAGAATTGGGACATGGAGTACACGCTGCAGGTGAATTCCTGATGAGATCCTGATGGAGCATGGACACTTGGGACAGAGGGGCTGATGGGAGTCACAACCACACATGGCAGTAGGGTTCAAAATGTCCAAGGCCTGAGGCTGCACTGGTGCAATACTCTCAGATATCACTAGATGGAGCCATGCGCCCATCTCAAGACTTCCAACAGGACTCAGGCTTAGAGGTCCAGGACTCGCTGCAGGCCTAGCAGGCTCCCAGGTCTCCTCTAGCTGGCTTGGCCGAGTGCTCTGAGTGTCAGCTGACAAAAGAAGGGAGGGAGCAGGAGGAGAACACTTTGTAAGCCTGTGTATATACATCCAGAAATGCATAGTGTATAAGTGAATTATGAATGTGTCCACCTGTGTGCATGTGTCAGTGTGAGATTAGTGTTTAGTGTGCACACAGAGGCGTGGCTGTGTAATTATGTGTATGGAATGTATGCGTAGGGCAGGGGCCCCTGACTCCAGCTCCCTGGGCCCTGAGAGGCCTTGCTGAGGCCACACTCACCTTTCCAGCCCTGCAGACATTTCTTCACTAAACTCTGAGCTCTCACTACTGCCTGGAAAAGGAACACAGATCAGTGAGCATGGCAGCCTCCAAGAGAGGGGCCTGTTCTCCTGGGCTCCCAGTCACTGGGCCCCAGTCCCCAAGCTCACAGCATTCAGACCCCATGGGTCACAAAAGGACTTGAGTTTGTGTTGTTATGTCTGTCTCTTCTCTGGGGAGGTTCAAAGACCACTCAGGCCCACCACTGTCAAGAGCACCCTCCACTCCCTTCCCACTACCTACCCTCTGGCTTGTAAGGCCAGGGTCTTCACATTTGTCTGGACTGCCGTTTGCCTGCTGCCTCAGCACCTCTCCCGAGGGCATAGGCAGGGTGAACACTTCTGGGATAGAGACAGGTAGATGGATCTGCCTGCACAGAAGATGCAGGGAGACTGCAAGGAAGGGTCGGCACAGTCCCCTGCCCACAGAGTCACTGCTACAGCCTAAGCTGGGATCCTCTGCCTTCCTACTCTCTTCCAGGCCCACATTCTGGAGCTGAGTGTGGCCTGCTGGGCCTGAGTGGGACACCCTGGCTCACTAGGCCTGGTGTTAAATGAGCAGCACACTGCTTCCCTCCTGGCATGTGCATCTGTGGGCCTGGCCTCTGTATTGTCTTAGACTGTGTAGGCTCTAAAGTTCAGGACCCTCCCTGCCAGACAGATCTCAGGACTGAGTAGTGGAAAAGGGTAAAGGAAACACCTGGCCTGAGGTGTTTCCTGCTGTATGGGGGAGGGGCAGAGCAGGGGGCAGGATAGCACAACCTCCACCAGGGCACACGCTCTACCACTGTCTCAGAGCTCTCAAGAAGAAAATGTCTTGAGTTCTCTGACTTGATGAGCCAGAGCCAAACAATCTTGTGATCTCCCCTGGATGCTGGACAGCACAGCACCTGACTCACTCTCGAGAGCAGCAGCCCAGACTCAGGCACAGCTCAGAGTTTCCTGGATGTCAAACAGCTGCTCTGAGCTCAACTGCACATGCATGGAGCCTCCTCAGAACCCAGGTCCCATCCTAAACTAAAGATGAGGTCCATGAGTGGAGCCTACCAGGCTGAGGATCCATGCCCGTGAGTGCAGCGAAAGCTCCAGAAGAAGCCTGATTACCATTCCCTAGCTCAGGAGCCTGGACCACTTCCCTCAAGCCACAACTATGAGCCTAAAATGCAATGTCCACACTTCTTACACTTTGCCTGGGTCCAAACAGGATGACTTCTTCTGAAGACATAAGACAGATATTACACTTGTCACAAAATTTCTAAGAGGCAGCTGCCTTGTGCTAAAATTGTTCCTGACTCCCAGGACTGGCCTAACTTCACAAGGACATGTGATATGAGATGCCTACCTGGTGTTCTTGCTGCCTAGTTCTCCAAGCTCCTGGCCTTCTGCCCCGCTGTCTTCACCAGATCAAATACCAGCCCACCACCACTGCTAGGAGGACTCTGCTATTTAAAGCAGACAAACACACTGGAAGGCAAAGGCCATCAAGAGAGCACTGGGCTGGTGACAGCAATCATAGGATAGTGTCACCTGTCACAGATGACCTGAGATCTCTGAATGCAGTTCGGTGCTAACCTCAGCCCTAATATCAACATTTCTCTGCTGGCGACAGCAGCCCTGTCTCTCTAACTCCATGGGACAGGCTCTCTTCCTGCTGCTGTCCAGTAGGGTAATGCCATCCCTGAAGCTGACATCTTTGTCTTCCCTTCTGCCTCCTCTAGGTAAAGATAAGCACTCAGCAGGAAGCAATGGACCACCCACCTATTGCTCCAAGCAAGCTTTGGACTCCCTCTGGGACATAAATGCCACCAAGGTAGCATCTGGCCTCAGGGGGTTGAGGTGGACTCAAGTCTAGCATCCTTCTTCAACCTGACCATTTGGGGACCACCAGAAGGAGAAGGCCAACCCAGGGCTCTTCCTGCAGCTGAAGACTCTTGTAGGGAGCCATTCTTTAAGGGTGAGGGGCCACTGGGCACAGTACAGTGACACAGAGACAGACATGGAGCACAAACTGGGCCTGCTGCCCCTGCCTGTGTGCACAGGCCAGCGACGCTTACCTAGGGAGAGTCCGTTGGTGATGGCGGTGGAGGAGGTATGGGTGAGGCCCCTGCGGGGGCTGCGGGACTCTAGGACACTGTCGTCCAGCAGGTGCCTGGCCTTCTCCGATGGGAATGTTGCACTCTTACTTTCAACTACACTCAACTGACACATCAGACTGGAAAACGGAGAGGAAGAGAGAAGCAGAGCTCCTTATCCTGGGAGCACAGTGGCGTACTGGCCCCGGAAGCCAGAGCCAGGGACTTACTGCTGGAGACGCCTCTGCCCAGAGCCCATTGGTGGACCAGGCTCAGCTCCTTCTTGTGGTGTGACCTTGGGCAAGTCACATCCTTTTTCTGAGCCTCAACTTCTCCCTCTGTTAGTGGAGACTAATGCTGCTTGCCCTGCCTGTGTCCCAGGATGATGGTGAGGTTTGTGAGATAAGGCCATCCTGAGGAGTGACAGCTTTGTGACCCCTGCTAGACCTCCACTGAGCATGGCAGCAGCTGCTCAGAGGTTTGCATGGTTCAGTTGAGATGGTGACCATGGGTGTATGGCAATGTCTAGAGAAGAGGAGGCACCAGGGACCCAAAGCACTTTGTCCTGCTCTTGCCTCTGAGCTCCACAAGGACTAGCCAAGAGGGATGGCATTTGTGCCTTAGTGCTAGAATGCAGGTGGAAGGAAGGATGGAAGGAAGGGAGGGAGGAGGGGGAAGGACAAAGAGTGCCCCTTATTTGGGAACCTGTGACCAAAGCCCAAGAGATACAGGCATGGCTTTCCCCAGTCATGTCCCCATGGCTGAGGACCTATATGTGCCCCAGCTGGGGACTCCAAAGGGCCAGTGAACCAGCAGGTACTGAGACAACCCTGAGGATAGTCTCTGGTGTCTGCTGGACTCAGTTCTCCCTAAATAAGCTGTAAACCAGGTTCAGGCACATTTCTTCACTAGCTACTGAGCCTAGGTCCCTGCTGGTGGCACACAGACTGCAGCCTGTCACCCCTCTGCATTCCCAGGCTCATACAAGCCTTAGGAGAGTGTGTATACCAAGAACATCAAGAGCTTCCAAATGAGGATGGGGAAGGACCCAGACTTCCTTCACCCAAGAAGAGAGCTTCTCAGTCACCCACTTGTTGCCCAGGCTGTGGCTCTTCCTGTGTCTGGGGACTGGCGGTGTGGGGAGGCTGCTGGCCACAGATGCATCTGGACAGGTGGGTCTCCGGCGGAACCTGGCTGAGCTGGAGCCAGCAGAGGGGCCTATGAAAGGAGCAGAGAAAGAAATAGTTAGCAGGAGGCGTGGGGGTGACAGCAGGGCAGAGGCTCAGGGGCAACTGGGCTCCAAGTTTGTAGCATGGATCTTTCCCTAGTTGTTCTATGTAAGACAAGGCTCACGTGAAGCCTACAGCAGCTTTCCACCCATTAGCTACTAACCCTTCCCTCCTAACATCATCAACTCCCAGAGTGAAGGCCTGAGGTGCCCAGGTCCAGTTGCTGGGGAGCTCTGCCAGGTGGCTGGCTGATAACCCATCTGTAAGAACAGAACCAGAAGCATAACCTTAAGGCAAATGTCCTTCCTGGACTTCGCAAGCCCAGAGAGGTATATGGGAGCCCATGAGCTAGGCCAGTTGGACCTGCACCTATGCCTCTGCCCACACTTTGTCTCTGGCCAGGATTTGCATGTTGGCATTGGCTGCTCTGAGGTTCTGCCTCTCCATTACAGGTCTGGCCTGAAGAGTGGGCCATCCTTCGAGGCTGTGCCAGTGTGGTCACCAATCCCCAGGCTCTCAGTTGGCCCTGCAGTGCCCTGAGGAGGATCCTCTGGCCTACATTCTGGGACACAGGATGCCCCTGCTCCTGACAAAACAGCTGCTGTACAGAGCAAGAGAGGAATGAGCAGCACGTGGCTTTGTTTTGCTTCTTCCCTAAGAGAAAATTCCAGAGGGTGGAGCCCTTGTTTATCAGCAAGCATAGGAGGGTAGCTGGCCCCACTGCCTGAGTCACTGTGCTTCCCCCCCCACCTCCCGGAGTGGAAACCCAGAGGCCCTGGTGTTGAAGCAGGAATGACCATAGTGATAGTCAGGGCCGGCCACTGTACCACTGTACAAATCCTGAGGTATGACCCTTGTTTGCCCCGTTAGATGAGGAGAAGGCAGGCTTATAGATGTACTACACACTGGAGGGAGGATCCAAACCCAAGTGTGCAGCAGGCCTGTAGGCTGGGGAGGAGTGTCAGGGGTTCAGAGACAAGTGCTGGGCAGATGTCCTTGCGAGAGGAAAGAGAGGTCAGCATAGCGTCCACTGTGTATCAGTTGTGAGCAGCCCTCACAACATTCATGCCCAGCTTGCAGACACCAGCACACTTGGTATCAGGACGTGGGGAGCCCTAGAGCTGTACAAGGTCACATCGTAAGGAGGGGCTGAGCCTCCCAAGGTCACACTGTAAGGAGGGGCTGGGCCTGCCTGTAAGGCAGCCACGCAGCCACACTCGGCTGCGGCCTCCCTCATGGCCTCCCTTGGCCGCTCTGAGGACACTCGCCCCCACTTGGCTCCATGCAGCTCTCGCCTCCCAGCCCTGCTCATTCTCTGAGTTATCACAGCCTTTAAGAGTTGCCTTGGCTGCTTCCACTAAGCTCTGGATTCTCTCTCCAAGGCTAGGCCCGGATGCACCCCTTTCCTTTCTGCTTTGGAGCCCTGGGAGGCATGCCTGGCCTCAAATGCTCCTGAACCGGCTGGGGAGAGTGGGTGGGGGGCCCAGCGGAAGAGCCCTGGCCTCTTGGGCCTATGTCAGGGCTGCTGTTGCTCTCTGGGCTCAAGGTCTCAGCCCCCCTCCTCCCCCACATTCTCCTAGCATTGTTGACCAACAGCCTAGGTCTGACGTGGAAACAGAAGAATTTCTATTCGGCTGGGACCCAGATGAGAGGCCTCTGCCAGTAAGTGACACCCTCTGCTACCCAAAAGGTCTCATGTTCCTGCCCCTCCAAGCCTGGGGTGGCGCTCAAGTGACAGTGCCAAGACACGTGCCTTCTGAGCTGGGTGACTAGCACGCTTGTTGGTCATGTCTTCAGGCAGGGTAGGGGTGGTGGTACAGCAGAGTAGATATGGCATAGACAGCTGGAAAAACTGACCATGTGGCTTGACTATCTCAAAGGATTGCTCTATTTTTCCTCAGCATAAGTTTTCCATGAATAATCTTTAAAGCTCTTTAAGTGCCTGTTTCTTCAGCAGTTTTATGGGACCATATGAGAATTGACAGTTTCTGTAGGCAGCCAGATACGCTGAAAAAAAATCTGGTTTTCATTACAAGAAACCAACATACTGCCCAACAGACCACTCATTGATTGGAATAGGAAATGAAACAAAACAAACGCCCTTCTACTAACTGCCTTGGAGCGGCCAGGATCCCCGATAGTGTATGTGACAGAAAGGGACTCTGGTCCTGGAGGCAGGGAAGCCTGGGCTCTCATCTGTGTCTGTGCTTATGAGTTGAATGGCCTTGGGAGGTCACCTTTAAGCCCTGGATCTACATGGGGGATAAACCTGGTCTTTGTTGCTTCCCTACAAAGAGTTAAACATACAGTATCTCTCTTTTTGCCACAAGTGTTTAGGAAACCCAGACCTTGGGGCTGCCCCAGGCCTAATACTAGAGCTATGTCACAGACAGGAAAATTCATGATGCTTCACCTGCATGGGAGTAACAGTCAGCAGTCAAGAGGGAAGAGAGGGGCAACCAGGGAGCTCTACCCAGCAGGAACACACACTCTGATGGGGGGATAGTCGTGATCAATACTGGGAGCTCCACCCAGCAGGAACACACACTCTGATAGGGGGATAGTCGTGATCAATACTGGGAGCTCCACCCAGCAGGAACACACACTCTGATGGGGGGATAGTCGTGATCAATACTGCTTCCACTAACAGCATGACAGGGTCCAAACTGTGGCTAATGACACCCTCTAACGTTCACTTAGCATCTGCTCCCTGCTAGAACTAACGGTACACACTTTGTCCACTTGACATGTAAGTCTCACAATATCACAGAGCTTTTGGAAACATAGGGGATGGATCAGACAAGACTTCTGGAATGTTCGACATCCTGCCTGGTAAGAGACTGGCATAGGCAATGACACAGGTAGAAAGAACAGTATGTGCAAAGGCTCAGAGGGAAGACAGCAGGGCCCCAGCAGAGACTCAATCCCACAAAGTAAGGTCTGGTGATGTGCTCAGACTCACATGTTAGGAGGAGTAACTAGATGTAGTCATGACTGGAAGCTGTAGGTTTTGAGGGAGAGATATGTACAAGAAGTGTCTGGGGGTTGGCCAGGCAGGGAGGGAATGGAGAGCAACCCTCTGTGTAGAGTAGTGTGCACTTGGGGCACAGATCTGGGGGTACAGGGAGAAGTCCGGTGTGGGGTCAACATCTGGAGGCCACTGGGCAGATGGGAAAGGCTGAGAGGAGAGCCCACACCTTGGGCAAAGGAACCTCTTCTCAAGGATTCCTGGCCAGGCTCTGCTCTGGGCTAGCACTGTCCCATTCCAGCTGGCCTTTCCAAATCTCACACATTGGAAAGTATGGGAGGCAGCTGTGGCAGAGGGGAAAGTAGCAACTTGAAGTCACAAAACTTGGGTTCCAGTCCCACCCCTAGCCCCAGCTGGACAGGGGCTCCTGCCATCTCTTCCTTGGTGTGCTTTCCCTAGGCACTGCCACTGTGCCATCTGTATCTCTAGTCAGTGTGACTCTGAGCCTCCAGAGGCCAGGCTGGGCTGTCACCCAACTCGAGGGTTCCGTGTTCTCTGCTTTTCACCTGCTCCTGTGGAGAGCCCTCCTTTGAGAGTCAGAACTCGGCCCTTTTGGATCTGCAGAGCCATGCAGCTCTCTACAGTCTTTCTGTGGAAACTTCGCTATAGCCATGTCTCTAGCGGAGCCTGGGAGCCACTCATTTCTGTGCTCACACACATTCTGCTTCTCACACACAGCTCCCTCAGGTCTCACTGGGAGCCAGGATGTCTCTATGCACACAGTCCAGCTCATTTCCTTTGAGAAACACCACTCTCATCTCCGGGCTGAGGTGGCATAGTGCTCTTCTCACTGCCTCACAGGCCACAGAGTGGGGCTCTGAATGATCGGAAGCTCTTGGCACTCGAGGTTCTTGGGCCTCTGCAGAGCTATGCAACTGGACGGATCAGGCTGGAGTCTTGTGCTGCTGGCTTCCAGCCCTTGAGCTCTCTCAGACCACCCCATTCTGAACATGAGAAAGGTTTGCTGAGGGTGTTAGAGGGAGGAAGGCAGGCCTCACCTCTTGCCCAGGCTCTCTATTAATCAAGTATTTCAACGGTGTGACCACATAGACCACAGAGCCTTGAAAGATGTCTCCACACTAGGACCAGGGCACTGTGAGTTAGTGTCTCATTCAGCCCTGAGGATGTGAGGGTGACAGCAAACTAGGCCAGCGGTGGCCACAGGATGGTAAGCTGCACTCTCAGGTGTACTAGAATGGGGAGTTACCCTGGCCTCCTGTGGACGAGATGCTCTAGTAAGAAGACTTGTACAGCATGGAGGATTTGAGTGGATCTTAGCAGGAAGATGCTGGTGGGATGGTGGCTGGGGTGGGGTGGGGGGCTCAGAGGTACAGGTGTATATTTGTATCTGCCAAGGTTGAGGACACTCATGGACGTGTCCTGGAGAAAGGACAGCTTTATAACTGCCCACTGTTACAAGTGGGGCTGTGATTAGCAAGTTGAGGGATCTAGAGAACTGTTCAGTAAGGGAGAAGGCCATGCTGCTGCTCTGTTGCCACAGACGGCCAGGCCTGAAGCAGCCCAGTTGGATGTGGCAAGGGGACCGGACACAAGGTAAAGTTTGAGGTTCTGACTCTTACAAACACCTGTGTGACAAGGTATCTGTAGGAAACTGGGTATGGTGACCTATCTTCAGACCCAGCACTCAGAGGAGAGAGGAGGAAGAACAGGAGTTCAAGGCCATTCCAGGATACACAGGTGCAAGAATGTGTGTGTGTGTGTGTGTGTGTGTGTATGTGTGTGCTCGAGCGTGTGCACGCACACACACCCTATTTATAGGAAAGGCAGAGACATGCAGGTCTATATCATCCATGGCAGATCTTAATGCCCTGAACAAGTAGACAGGATAACAGGAACAGAGCCAGCCCTTATTGTACCCTTCATGCTCTATGTATTAAGACAGAGGTGACAGACCTGTCCTGATGCCAACCCATCAGCTGGCTCTGCCACTTTGGTGATGTGTGAACCTGGGTGAGCACTCCAGTATCTTTGCCTACAGTATGGGAGTGGGATAAGAGTAGCAAAGGGCACCTGTCTGCTGGGAGCCCGGGGACTCAGCAGGCAGGCCCTGGGTACACTCTAGTGAACACATGGGCAGACTTGGAAAGGTGCTCCGTCCAGGACAGCTACAGTGAAGCTGACAGACAGAGGGCTTTCCTTATGCAAACTGCCTAGCATGCTCCACAAAAGTCCTTGGCTGCTCCAGGGAATGGCAGGGCCTCTGACCATCTCTCCTTGGACATGGACCAGCCTCAGAGGAAGGCTGAGGTGAGACTGCCTGGCTTTGGAGGCTGGTTCACGGAGAAGTTACTTCACAGTTTTCTAGCTGCCCTCCCATTGTCTGCTCTGGGGACAGTCATCTCCCAAGCAGGAGCCTGCTGTCTTCTGGGGAAGCCTAGGCCACTTTAAGAGGCTGCAGCTGTGTCCTGCTGCTGTTGTTGTTTCACAACAGGTACCAGGCATGTGAGTAACAACCTCTCCAAGTAACTCCAGTCCCAGCCCTGCCTACCCTGATGCTGATTCACTGAACATAGTGGTATTTCTGCCCTAAGTTCTAAGGTGGCACTGGAGCTTGATCTATCTGTGGATCTTTGGGTCCTGGAGCTCAGGTGGCAGACTCACACTGTCTCTCATTTAGATGGCACCAGAGCCTGCCTGAGAGGGTCAGGAACTAACATTCCCAAGAGGCATTGTGCTGGTAGCAGCATTTCTTGAATAGCAGTTTCTGGAGCTCTTGCTAAAGCCCTGCAATATGAGCTAGGCTGGAGACTTCCTGTGCCAACAGCTCAGGGATGCTGCAGCCAGGCTCTGCATATAGGTCTGCTGACCTGGCAGCGGAGGAGCCCTTGCTACCAGGTAGTAAACATGAAGACAGAAAAGTGTGCAGGAGATCAACCTTTAGGTTGAGAGGGCAGAGACAGAGGCCAGGGTCAGGATTTTCCTGGGCTAAAAGCATGGCTCTGGAACCTTCAGAGGAAACCTGTCCCCAGGGGAAGACGTGTGGGGGAAGCCTGCAAGGTCTGGAACTGTCTTCACTAGCTCCAAGACATACACAAACATCACTTGCCCTCTGGGGGGCTGGGATGGGCAACATTATGAACATTACATGTGATTTTTTTCTCTCCAGGAAAATATTAGTTCATTTATATAAACATCATCCCACGGAGAGGGAAACTGGAAACGTGGCATCCCTGGCCATTTTTTTTCTCCACAGATCAAAAGCAGAGTTAGTTTCCTCCGTTTCCTTTCTCACTGCCTTCTTGTGGGGACAGACTGCCCACATGGCCATTTCCCCAGAGCAAAATGGGGGCAGCTCTTGGCAGGGTTCTGGGGCCATCAGAGGCCAAGAGAACAGCTGTAGCTCAGGCTGCTACTGATCTTAATCAAGGCTCCTGAGAAGATCATGGCTGCTGCTTCCTGTGCAGGGCTAAGCTCCCCCAGTCCCTGGAAGGAGCTGGTTAGAGAAGAGTCATAAATTGCCCCCCTCCACATACACACCAACTTGGTCTGTTCACACTGGCTTCTTTTTGGCTCCAAATGTGCCTGTCCTTGCCTACTTGGCTTTTGCAGCCTATCTCCCCAACTAAGACACAAGCTCCAGGAGGCTGAGGCCCCTGCCAGGTACCCAGTTCATAGCAAGTGCTTGTTACACACAGACCTGGAGCCTAAGAGCCCTGTGTAAATGAAGGTGCACAGCTAAAGGCTTTTCCTTGGCAAGTGTGGAGGTATCTAACTGCTGGGCACAGCTTTGAGCTGGAGCCTAGCCCCTCCTGAGGAGCAGAGGGAGGCCACGTTCCTCCCATTCTTGGGACTGCAAGAGGCACATTCCTGTCCCTCAGTCCTGTGGAGTTCCTGCCACGCAGCTCAATCTAAGTTCCAGAGTCCAGAAGGCTCCCTTGGAGCTGAGCCTCCGACCACCCTCTGTGGGAACCCTTATATGCCATGACCCACGCTGCAGCAGGGCTTCTTATCTTTCCTCTGACACTTCAAGGGGGAAACCTGAGTCACTGAATGGCTATGAGCTTTCTAGAAAGTCACTGGCTCTCTGGTGATCAACATAAACCCTGACATCCTGCTTTGGGGCTGAAGCCAGGGATTTAGAAAGTTGGTGAAAAACAGTCCTGTGAGCAGAGCTCCCTCTGCAGTGCAGGAACTGCTGGGCTCAGCACTTTTCTGGAAGGTTGTGCAGAGTCAGCAGACAGCCCACACTGGAGCTGCCCTCAAGGACAGGTGCCCACAGGGCCCAACAAGGAACTCTGAGGCTAGGGCTGAATGGGTGGCATCGGAGTCACCTACAAGTCTGTATGCCAGGCTCTAGGAATTCCACACCCAGCTCTGTCTCTCAGGGAGAAGACAGTGAGTACACAGATGACTGAGGGTTAGGCCATACCGGCTACTGCCACACAAGGGTATGATGTAGGGCCTACATCCCAAGGAACTAACTCCACAGCTGCACACACAGGCAAATACAGGAACATGTGGCCATATGTCATCCTACACAGACCGGGTGGGTTTGTTTGGGGTCTAGAGCTTGCTGGCCCAGTGAAATCAGACCCAACTGGGGTCTTGGGCAGTATCACTTAGCTAAAGCATGGAGGCTAGTTCAGTGATGGAATCACATTGACAACCACAACGTCATCACAGCTCCCCAATGAGAGGGGTCTGGGCTAGACTCTGCACAAGTTTCAGCAGCAACCCTGTGAGTAACGTATATACTGCACCCATTTTACAGGTAAGAGTGTGCAGTGCTAAGCATCTCAGAGAGCAGTTTGCTTGGGAAAGAGTTCTAGAATAGTGAAGATCAGGAAGTAGAAACCTGGCCAGAACCATAGCTCTCTGAACCACCATAGTCGATGGCCATTTGCCAGGGAAAGACAGTAGGCTTTTGAGGAGATAGTAGGAGATACTTAATACAGGAGTCTAGAAGATGTCATGAAAAACACAACTGTAAGCCAGGCAGTGGTGGCACACGCCTTTAATCCCAGCACTTGGGAGGCAGAGGCAGGTGGATTTCTGAGTTCGAGGCCATCCTGGTCTACCGAGTGAGTTCCAGGACAGCCCGGGCTACACAGAGAAACTCTGTCTCGAAAAACCAAAAAAAAAAAAAGAAAAAGAAAAGAAAAAGAAAAACACAACTGTAGATAGCACTAACTCAGCAGCCCTGCTAGTTCCAAGGGCAGCACCTTCCAAGGCTCTTGAGAAGGGGAGCCCAGAGGTACAAAGAACTCTAGCTTACCAGTCAGAGATAGCAGAGGCTGGCACAGACAAAAAGCCAAGGGCACATCCCAGAGACAGGACAGAGGCTATGCAGCAGGAAGCAGGGCTGGAAGGAAGCTGCCACAGAGCTTCCTGAGAGTTCTGTGGGCCTAGTCCTACCAACACACACCCCAGCCTGAAGTATGTTGAGGCTGACCTGAGTAGCCCAAGGCAGAGGGATGGCGTGACCCTGGGCAGTAGTTCCGACCTACTTCTTACTGAGCACTTGAACAGCATTTCAGTGCTGTCTTGTTGGGATGGAGATTTCAGTATCTCCATTTTATATACAAGGAAAACATGACCCAGAGGGACAAAGCTGCTTGGCTAATGTACAGTGGCTCAGAAGCCAAGTTAGAGTGATGGAGAGCTAGATCCAGGAGAACATGCTGCTAGAGGTCCCTCTAGCCTCTCCCCAGACAGCGATGCTGATCAGCCTCCAGCCCTAAGAGCTGGGTGCACAATGACTGGAGGGCCACTGTTATGGCAGTAACAACCAAGCAGCTGACACCAAGCATATTCTGACAGTGGATAGGTGTGGACAGAGCATAAGACAGGCCTATGCTCACCCCGGCATCATGACAACAAGGCTATGGAGGACCAGAAAGACAGACAAAGCTAGAGCCTCGCTCTGACAGCAGATTCCTAGGATCCCTCTGCTGGTGATAGAGTGCATTTCCCTCAGAGATGATAAATCTACTGTATCTGGTACATCCTGGCTACCCTCCCCACCTTTGGGGCATATAATCCCAAGGGTTGGGGCAGGCTGAAGGACCAGAGTTAAGGTGGTCTAGAGAAAGCTCGCCTTGCACATGCTTCTAAGTTGGGGAGCTAGTCTCTTGGGGTCCCACATTATCAGGAATCTGGCAGGGTGGTGGAAGGTGCTGTAAACAGGGATAGTTGAGCCTGCCACACAGTGAACCCAACTGTGTTCTTGGGCTCCATGTAGGGCCTGTCTTGGCACCTGTCTAGGCTGTGAGTAGTTTTGAACCATTTGAGGAGCTATGATACCTGCAAGATCTTCCTTGGAAGAGACTAGTCTTGGAGAGCTGCTTCCTGGTTCAATTCTGAGTGACAACCTGAAACCAAAGATTTTCACAAAGTCAGAGAGGCCTGGGTCTACCATGGGACAGGGGAGGGATGTTCAAGAGTATATCTGTCACAGAACTCAGGAATAGTATGAGATCTGCTTCGGGTTACAATTCTTCCTCCTACTGATGCCTCCCAAGGCCCTTGCTTGTTTACCCACAACTCTGTGACTGAAGCATGTTTTAGAGCCTAGGAAAGCGAGCAGAAAGGCCATGCAGCTTCCTCAGCCAAATTCATGGCACTGGTGGGTGGCAGGCAGGGATGCTAAGACGGAAAACAGGCTCCATAGGATCAGACTGGTAATGTGAGAGTATCTTTTTGTGGCATGGAGATGGCCCAGGGAGATGAAAGGAACCTCCTACCTCCTTGTGGGAAAGGGAATGCTAGGTGATCCTGGACCTTCCAGCCAGCAGGAAAGGAACCAACCTCCTCAGCTCCTCCGAATATGTGGAAGGAGAACTAGTGAAGAGTCTCTTAAATGGTATCAAGACAGTGGTCCAGCAACACCTCAGACCTTGTCTCACTGGAGGGAAGAGAAAATGAGTGACCCTCAGGTCACCTCAGGAGGTAGCTTCTGAGCAGAGGATGGCCTAGAAGAACATGAGCTAAGTTCAACAGAACCTGAACATCAAGGTGATGAGACAGGGGAAGCAGATGAAATGAGAAACTGTGACATGAAACCAAATCAGAAATGGAAACTAGAGCAGGCTGGCTGAACATCTCACAGGAAACAGACTACTTGAGGACTGCTGGAGGCTGAGGAGCCAATCACAACTGCTGGGAAGCAGCTCAAGGGGGAGGAGGAGGAGGAGGAAGGCAGAGAGCACCGAGCACAGGGGCCCTGGAAGGTGGAATCCAAGAATGGGTGTGGAAGAACTTGAAGGTTTAACCAGTTGGGTTGGTCTGCACTGGGGAAGGCATATTGTGGGGTCTAGGAGAGCTGGGAAAAACCCTCCTCTCAGAGGCTTTCTTGCTGAGCTTCTGAATTTCATGGACTTCAGCACCCACCTGGCAAAGCAAGAGGGAAAAACCCAGGCAGACATAGAACTCTTTAGCAGCAGCACACAGTGTCGGGCGGCCACCAAACCTACAGGCCTGGGAGAGAGCAGGAGACCAAGCTCAGCTCTCCAGGGGAGGGAGGGGCCAGCTAAGCAAGGGATAGATCTCAAACGATGGCATGGCATGGCGTGAGGGGACAACAGGTGTTAAGATTGGAATTACACACAGAATTGCAGGGATTATGGATCCTGAGCATGGCTTCCACGTTATGCACTCAGAGGGTGGGGTCCAAACATAACACAACTAAAACCTGGATGCGGGGAAGCCCAGGTGGGGGAAGCCCAGCTGCATCCTCTTTATAATCTGAGGCAGCTGGCAGTCACAGTAACGACCTGGTCACAGGAAACACCAAGACTCAGGCCTCTTCACGGTTTTCCTGGCTCATTTTATGAGTCTTAAAAAAAACTGTTTTAGGAATTTTTTTTTTAATTTTAACTTTTAATTATGTGCATGTGTGTGTAGGTGGCCGAGGAGGCCAGGAGAGGTTGTTGGACTCTCTGGAACTAGAGTTACAGGGAGATGTGCTGGCTGATGTGGGTGCTGGGAACTGTACCCTGTGTCATGTCAACTTGACACAAGTTAGAGTTATCTGAAAGGAGGGAACCTCAATTCAGACAATGCTTCCATAAGATCTGGATGTAAGAAATTTCCTTAATTAGTGATTGACAGGGGAGGGTCTAGCCCATTGTGGGTGAGGCCATCTTTGGGTTGGTAGAACTAGGTTCTATAAGAAGGCATGCAGAGCAAGCCATGGGAAGCAATCCAGTAAGCAACACCCCTCCACGGCCTCTGCATCAGTTCCTGCCTCCTGGTTCTGTGTGAGTTCCTGCCCTGACTTCCTTTGGTGATGGACAGCAATGTGGAAGTATGAGCTGAATAAACCCTCTCCTCCCCAGCTTGCTTCTCAGTCATGGTGTTTCACTGCAGCTATAGAAACCCTGAATAAGACAGGTCCCCTGAAGGAGGAGTAGGCCTCCTAACCACTGAGATCTCTCTGCTGCCCCAGGAAGTAGGATTTCCTGCAGTAAATAATAGTAACATAAAGAGTGATCATTCCCTTTTGTTTTAGTTTCCTTTTGTCTGGTTGAATTAAATGTAAGATGTTTAATTACAAATAGCAAGGAGAGTAGTATGATCCAATCAAGTAAATTCTGTCCTTGCGTTCCTCCAGTTACCCACCCTTTTCTACGTATAAAGCTCCCATGCACAGTCAAGTGTTCAAATCCCTTCATGCTGGCCATGCGTTTTAAGTGGTGGGATTGGGTCATTTTCCTAAAACTGATGCCAGACTAACATGGAGAAAGAGACGACACTGGCTGGGCCTCCTGGTAGAGAATTGACAGGGCAGATGCTGGCCACTGATACAAGGCAGAGCAAGGTCACTGATGTCCTCAGGTCCTGCATCCTTGGCATCTCACCTCTAGGTGAGAGCTGGCCACAGTGCTCAGTACTCTGGCAGAATTGCACACCCTGCCCTCGTCCTGCCACTTAGAAACAGGACCTCCTTAGAAAGAGGGCCTTCCATGCTAGGGGCAGGAAGGCAGCCCTCCTCCCTAGGTTTGCCCAGTTTGGTCCAACAAAGAGCCTTTATGAGCACCAGACTGGCTGTTGTTTAGCACAGAGGGGTGGGGGTGGGGGGCGGTGCTCCCCTTCTTCAGAATGGAAGGAGTAATTACTCATAATCTGCAGCTTGTCCAAGGATTGTCTCATGTTCACAAGTATTTATAGGCCATTTTTCTCCTTAAAGTGTATTAGTGTTAATGAAAAACTACTGTCTCTTTAATGGCAAGATTGGAACATGAATGGAAAACATTATACTAGAACGTAAGTGGGAATAATTTTGCACTCCAGGCCACTCTTCAGGAACAGCAAACGCTTTGTAAATAAAATGAGCTCTGTCTCTGATAGACACAGATTGAGCGTGACCTCTGGCCTGAATCTGTGCTCCCATCACCAGGAGCTAGCACACACCTCTGCACTGGTCTTCATTTTGATGGATGCTGAGACAGCAACAGCGAGGGCAGGATGTCTGTTTCCAAAGACGACTGGAGCCTCAAGTGAAGTGCTAAGAGAGGTCAGTCTCCAGGCCCCACCCTATGACCTGGATCCCAGCTAGAGCTCGGAGCCACTGCTGTTGCACTGGCCAGGTGGGGATGCCTGAACAACTGTTCCCAAATCTGTTAAGCGACTGGTGGCCATGGTTCTGGGTCACTTTAACATACTGAGATGACACAAGATCAGGCTTTCAACACAAGGCTGCAAGGGATTGAGCAGTAGCTAAGAGGACTCAGGGAAGCACAGTGCACAGAAGCGCCAGTGAGAGGGCATGTGAAAGAGAGTCTGTGACAGTGACACTCGGGTGGCCAATGAGCAATCACAAGATGGCTGAGATTTGTCTTAATGTAGGTCAGAGAAAGCACTGAGAAGAGAGTATGTCCAGCTAAGATGGACAGCCAGAGTTGACTTAAACCCTGCTCCTCCCTCAGACCCTGAGCCATGCAGGGTGCACACTCAGGTGCCACCAATGAAGGGAGAACTGCAGGCCAGAGCAGGGTAGACAGATGCGTTGGGCCTTGGGGTTTTTCTGGGAAGTACATCTAGTCATAGGAGCGTGGAGACTGTACCTGGGGCCCTTGGCTAGAGCCAGATGGAGAGTCCTGCAGAGAGCTGAGAGGCCCAAGGACTGCCTGTGTCATCCAGCTGTGAAACAGGACCTCGGAAAACACTGGCTTAAAGATATGACCAGCAGCCAGGCAGTGGTGGTGCACACCTTTAATCCCAGCACTTGGGAGGCAGAGGCAGGCGGATTTCTGAGTTCGAGGCCAGCCTGGTCTACAGAGTGAGTTCCAGGACAGCCAGGGCTATACAGAGAAACCCAGTCTCGAAAAACAAAAAAAAACAAAAAACAAAAAAAAAAAGACCAGCTGACCTTCTATCTCGCCAAGGATCCTCTTGAGAGCCTGCATCATGCATGGCTATGGAGCCCACATTGGTGTCTTAGGCCACATGGGAAGGTGAACATACTACCTTCTTCAGTTGTGGGGTGTGAGGGCTGTACAGACAACACTGTTCTGGGGCCTGTGGTGGTGGGCCATGGAAACTCTCAGGTCACTTCCCAGTCGCAGTAAGGACCAGGTCACCTGCAGGCACCTGGGTGCTAAGGACAACAGTGGACGGGCGGGCTACTCAGGATGGACGAGGACTTACTTGTAATTATCATCTTCTACAAACTTCTGGAGCTCCTCGATGTAGCGCACAGACTTCAGATACTTTTGTACATGTGGCAGGGTAGTGAGGTGATCTGCAAAAGTCAGAACAGGACTCAGAGACCTGACTGCCCCAGCCCAGGGAACACTGATACAGACACACCTGGGATCTTGAGGCTGGTTTACTGTCCTTGGGGCCAGGACCTAAAGGGAGGTCAGGTTTGAATACTGCTCTTGTGGAGAGTGACCTCAGCATTTGGCTGAGAGAAAGAGAGAGACGCTAAGGCTGGGAAAAGATAAAACCCTGGCCTTCAGAATACATCAGAATCATGTGTCTGTGCCCAAATAGATTTCCAGTGATAGCACTGGGTTGTCTCCTTCTGTGTGCCATGAATGCATGGCCACTCAGTCAGTATGCAAGTCCATCCCAGAAGGGAGGCTCTGCACTAGGTGACAGACATCTGTTCCAGCCTTCACTTTGGCTTGTGTTGGAGTGATGGCAGCAGTGGGCGAAGGTCCTGTCACTGACAGGAGGCAAGGCAAGGCTCTACTCAAGCCTGTGAGGCTGTGTCACTGGCTTCCTGGAGCGACTGGGCCGAGCCACTTTATTCTCCTTAGCCACTTCCCTGTCACTGCACTGCTGAGAAGAGGGGCAGCCATGAAAGGAGAGAGGCTGTGGGGATGGAGAAGTCCTGGTGAGCAGTAGGGGCCTCAGTCTTCAGGCTCCTCTAAGTCCTTTTTGCTGTCATCATCTCTGACATGAGGACAATGACATCTGTGTCTGAACTGGTGACAGCTCACACAAGTCCAGAGCATTGTGACACAAGTGTACTTCTAGGTATGGCTTTGTTTTCATGTGTGAGCAATCTATGGGGAAGAGGAAGTGACCTTTCAAGACAAGATGGGCACTGAGACTTGCTCCCTGGTGTGACACCGAGGCTGAGTCTGTGGCTGCTTTGCTGGTCTACAGACAACGGTGAGGGTGTCTGAAGGGAGAGGAGTTGCCTTACGTTGTGGACCTATCTTGCCCTGAGATGTGGTGACCCATGGCTTTCCTGTGTTCCTCCCGAGCAGAAGTGGCCGGCTGTCTCACACCCTGTGTGACAGACAGGACTCTCTTTTCTCACCCCCGTCTGGTGCACTCAGACTTTTATTCCTTTACCCTGCTGTGAGAGCCGGCTTACAGCTCTGCTCCTCACTTTCCCCGTCACTGCAAACCCCTGCCCGGATCGAGTCGCTGTTCCTTCTCACAAAGTACTAGGGCACCTGACTCATAGTCTTGTGTAAAATCGGTGCTGTGGATGGCATTTTGACTTCCAGCTATAGGAAGTCTCCAGTGGGCCTCTCTATGCATTCTAGGCACCTACTGTCCTGCTCCGCCTCTGCCATCTGGCCATATGCAGCAAACCTGCCCAGTTGCTTACCAAATCATCACCCCATTCCATTTAGGCCCACAGATAGATGACCTGGCCAACCTCCTGCAGCAGAAGTGATATGTGCCCTTTGCAAGTCTGGCCGACAAACCACCCTTGTCTGCTTCTTTCTTGTCTCTGCTAGCCTAGTGCAGAGCTTATGGGGGGATCCAAATGGAAGAGCCACAGGTAGAAGGAATCTGGACCCAAATCCACTTGAAGAAGAGCTGTCTGAGAGCTTCCCACCAGGATCCTCATGGATAAACGACTCAGAGCCAGTCAGACCTGGGACACGCCACTCACGGGACAGTCAAACTGTGTTCCCCATGTGTAACTAAGGAATAGAGTATCTGGTTTGCAGTCTTTGGAAATGCATAAAAGGCCTAGCCCAGGTCTAAAGCTCAAGACATCCCAATGGGGCTTTGTGGGGCTAACCTGATTCTTGAAACTTTCTGGCCAACATGCTGGATCCAGACTGCAACAATGCAAGCTTTTATAATCCTAGCAGTAAGGTACTAACCATAGCTGCAGGAAACTTGTAAATCGGCAATGATTCGGAGGATGTTGTTCATCTGGTTGGATCTTTGTTCGTTTTCCATGATGCTGCCAGAGGCAGGGTATGCAGAATCAATGTAGATCAAGTCCAGAAGGTAGATTCCTAGGATTAAAGAAGATACTGGGTTACAGTAGGGCACATTACAAATCCTAGAGTTAAATAGTCTCCTCAGCAAGAAGGTATAGAGGGCAACGTGTAGAAATGGAACATACTATCTGGACTTGAATTCTAACTACCTCATTCTTTGTGTTCAACTATACATCAAACGTTTGAGCAACAACCAAAATGGATAACATTCTGGCAGACTCTAGCCTGTCTAATTTGCATAATCTTCAGCAAGGTTTTATACCTATAATCCAAATGGAAAGTAACAGCCTAAGCTGTCATGCCCAGGAGAACAGCTTTTGTGGATTTTAATTATTTACTTAGCTATGTGTTTATCCGTCCCTGCACATGTGTATACATTCATACAATTGTGAATTAAATAAGGAACAGAAGAAGTTAAGAATGAGATATTTCTCTATACAAACAAAACAAAACCCCAAAAAAACAGTGGTAGGCAGATTTCTTCTGGGATGCTTACCAAGAAATAAGATGTGATGCAAAACGGGAACTCTGATGGCCAGTGACGAGCAGGGAGGGGTTGGGAATGGGAGTTCCCAGACAATTCAGCTGGGGGAGAAGGTGGAAGGGCAGAGCTTGGTTCTTTGGGCTGAGCCTCTACATGGGTATCCGCTGGCTGACTGCAAAGCTGCACTATAGACTATCTGGAGATAGTACAGAGAAGTGAACGGCGTGCCCTTCAGAGAGAACTTCATGAGCAACTCTGAGGGATAAAGCACGAGGCCCTGGGCAGGAGAAGCCATGCACAGTACAACTGAAGACAGATGATCAGCACAAGGAGAAATGGTTGATGTGGATGAAGACATACCAATGGAGAAGATGCAATGATGCCAACACTCTACGCATGAAACAACCACCACATTCAAACACATAAAGCAAGAAACCACCAGGGATAAAAAGAGAATTTATAAAATGCTACAACTCCCCTAGCAGTGGTGCACACCTTTAATCCCAGCACTCTAGAGGCAGAGACAGGTAAATCTCTGAATTAAAGGCCAGCCTGGTCTACAGAGTTCCAGGACAGTTGTAGCTGCACAGGGAAACTCTGTCTCAAAAACAAATGAAAACAAAAACAAACAAACAAACAAACAAAACTGGCTTTGTCTTGTGGCATGCTACAACCATACAGAAAGCCCAGTAAGTTCAAAAACTCAGTACCATGCTATCCACATCCTCTAACCTTACAATGTCCATTTAAGAATGAAGTACTGAAACCCTACCATTGGAGAGTGTGCACACATAAGAAACTTCTAGGTTAAAAATAGATCTAAAGTTTAAAAAATCTGTCTGCACAGCTTTAACAACTTAAACAAAAACAATACTTCTCCGAAGTGCAGTGCTGCCAGAGCTCTGTGCTTGAGTCAGCAGCCTGCAGATGGGCATCTGATGTCCTCCATGTCCACAGCCCAAGACTCCCAGGTACTTCCTTACTCTCATATTATCTGGAGAGATGGTACAAGCATACACTACTCCTGCAGAGAACCCAAGTTTGGTTCCCAACCTGTGACAGGCAGGTTGTAATTGCCTAAAACTCTGGCTCCAAGGGGTCTGGTGCCTCTGGCTTCTGTAGGTACATGTCCCAACATGTATACACACACATCTAATTTAATATGACAAAAAAATCTTTGAAAAATAGATTTCTACATTTAATGACTTTAAATGTAGTAAATCCTAAAGAGACCTTCATTATCAGAAAATGATGTTAGCTTTTGAATATCTAACTTTATCAAAATGATTGTATACTAAATCCTGACCAATGTCAAATATTACAAATGGCAAATGTAATACTGTATAGTTATATTTTACATTCACTGTATATATTTTTATATATTATATTAATTGTGATGTAAAGACAATCAGATTGAAGAAACAATAAGAATATTTTTTTCTTTTTTTCTTCTTTTTTTTTTTGTTTTTTGAGACAGGGTTTTACTATGTAGACCAGGCTGTCCTGGAACTAGCTTATAGACTAGGTTGGCCTCGAACTCACGAAGATTCATGTGCCTCTACCTCCCAAGTGCTGAGATCAAAGGTGTGCGCCAGCATGCCAGGCACATGGTTGCTTTCTTATTTATCCTTCCAAACTCCCACTCTGTAAAGGAGGAAAACAAAGCTCAGAGAGGCTGTGAAATTAGCGTAAGGTCACACAGCTGGTAAGTGACAGAGATGGGAATGGAACCTTGGCTTCCTCCTCCATCTCAGGCTTCCTGCCACCAGGGAGGACCTCGGGTGCTGGGTACAATGAGTCACCCGTCTGCTTTTAAAATAGCTTCAATTGTTCCGGGAAACCATTAAATCACAGGAGCATCTGCTGGCTCCTCACAGGCCCCTGCCCATTTCCTTTCCTCTGATGGTACTGTTTTCCAAATTTTAACAATTAATAATAATTCCCCTTGAATAAACATTCTAAATGTGGTGGGTTTGAATTCACAGATTTATTCTTTCTCTTGAACTTAGTGGAGTAACTCAGCTGCTTCCCTGAGGATCCATGGCTGTCCTGAGGATCCCATTATGGCTGCGACCACCAAAACAAAAGCCTCCCTCAGTGCTGTGTGGGGCTCAGTGCTGTGTGGGGCTCAGTGCTGTGTGGGGCTCAGTGCTGTGTGGGGCTCAGTGCTGTGTGGGGCTCAGTGCTGTGTGGAGGCGGAGGGCTGTGGGCCGTGGGGTGATTCCAGATGCAGTGTGCAGACTCCAGCTTGGCTGACTAAGAGGCCAGCCAGCAGCTCAGCCCAGGAGCAGAGAAGGAGGTGGGAACTGAGGTTTCCTAGGGTCTGTTGGGAAGCCCTGTCTCTTCCTAGACCAGCACCTCTGGGAGAAGGAGACTGAAGAGATGAAGGGCTGCACACAGTCTCACTACTGTGCACTAAGCTCGACAAGAGCTCTGCAGGGATGTGGCTCCCACAGCCATCCTACTGGCCTCCAGAGCAGAGTGGCCCTTGCTCAGACTCAGCTCTACTTGGAGACTCCCTTGTGTTGTGCCAAAGTGTGGTCCAAGCCTCATTCCTGAGCAGTGCTCTACAAACCAAGGCCAGAGGAGTTCAGAATACCCTGGGGAGGGGCAGGGCTTCACTACTGTATGACAATCAGTTCCTGAATCCCTTTTGTAAAACACCCAGACTCTAGCACTTGCCTGCACCTCAGACCCCGAGTAGTTAGACTCATGTCATAGTGGTGAGTGACTGGGGACTGAGTCTTGTAAAGCTAGGCAGGGAGACAGCCACAATTTTGTACTCCCTCAACAAACACTGCTACAGAAATGGTACACTGTTGCGAACAGTGCACAAATCCAGGGAAGCCTTTTCTGTGTTATACTAGCCAACCACAGGAGATATTTCTATGCCCACAACATAAACCAGATGCCTGTTTGTGTCCTTTGAATCCTGACGGCTGACCCCTCCCTGACAGGGCTCTGGCTTGAGTCCCCAGAGCAAAGCACACAGAGCTGCCTGGTGAACATGAGGCGAAAAGGAGACTGTGAGAATGAGGGGGTGTGCCTGTGTTAACCCAGACAACAACCTGATGAAATGCTTCTCATCACTCTTGTTTTGTAGTTGAGGAAAGGTATCATCTCAAGAGATGACCAGAATGTGGGCTGAGGCTGTAGCTGTAGCTCAGTAGTGGGTAGAGAGCTTGCCTAGCCTGCGCAAAGCTCTAACTTTGCTCACCCACGTTTCATAGTGAGACCCTGTCCAAAAAAAAAAAAAAAAAAAAAAAAAAAAAAAGATGGTACTGACTCAGGATTACTAAGCACTTACTATATCCTGGTCCTAAACTGAAGATGCCGTCAGATTGTTGTTGTGTAAGGACAACATGGCCACCAGGAAACCATGGTCCTGCTTCTACGAAGGAACAGAGACTACAAGAGGCTCCATTACTTTCTTGAGGCCACACAGTAGGAAAGTGGACAAGGCAGGCTCCACATACAGCTCTGTCTGGCTGCCATATTGATATTGTTCGTCTCTGTTACACTGCACCATGCCGCCTGGAGTACCTGGAAGCAGGGTGGTGACATACAGCAGCTGGGCCAGCACAGGCACCCAGGCTCTGGCTCACTTCTACTTTGGGACTGACATTCTCCAGAGGGTCTTAAGGGAGGCTGTGGCTCCTTCCTCCTGTTATACGTCCCAGGCCTGCCTGAGCACATGGGTCTCAGGTCTTACATCAGCAGCCCACCCAGACCCTGGGGGCCCTGCCAGCCCTGCCACACAGAGCCACCAGGAGTAGCAGAGGGATGGCCATGGGAGTGATGGTCTGGCTACAACTGGCATAACCATAGAAGGTAGGTACCCAGACACCAGCCGCATGAGACCACCCAGTAGCTGGACCAGTGCTGGGAGCCCATCTGGCCTGGGATAGTGCAGCTCCTGTTCCTATTTAGACAGTGACTCCAGCAGATGACACTTTGCTATTGGCCTACTACCACAGACAGCTATTGGACCAGCCATTGGCTTTGGCTGCAGTGGGAATGGGTGATGCCAAGGGACTGGGCTAGACTGTGAGGTACTGACACAGTGAGGGAGGCTTAGGTGATGGGAACACTCTCTGTCTGACATGCATGTGGGGGAGGGGAGACGTGCTGCTAGCCTCAGGATTCCTTTACTCTCATTGTCCACAAGCTATATGTTAAGAAACTGAGGCTCAGGAGGAAAAAAGAGTAGGCCAAATTCCCATCTTCCAAGAAGATGGGGTGGAAACTCAGGCCTATCTTGACAGAAGTGCTAGGAGTAGGGACTGAGAGGCACGGGCTAGCCCAAGGAAGAGGGTCCCAGCTTGAGCTGGGGGTAGGAGGAATGCGGCTGTGGCCTTTCACCTGGGGGCACCATCACACAACCATGCCCACTTGAAGAGCCCTCCTTTGAGGCAAATGGTTCCCCCAACCTTGCCTCTGCCCTGTGCCATCTTTGTGCCCACTGACAAAGGAGATGCCTTCAGAGAAGACTCCTGCTTGGTGGTGTGCAGAGGCTTCTGCAAGCCAGCAG